ACGCATATACCCTAAATGCCCCCCCGCCCCCGCCCCCGCGCCCCACAACCAAGCCTGTGCTATTTTAAAAGATTTCATTCAAATAACGACCAGCTGGGCCAAGAGTTACATAGAGCCAAGTATTTCTTACAGTTAAAATTCTCAACTTTTAAAAACAATTCTCTATGTACTTCTGCTGCCTTCTAAGTTGTCTATGGAGTAATGTCCAAAACTAATTTTAATTAACATGGGGCTTTTTCTTTTATTTTGGGGGGGAGGGTGGCGGTAGGGGGTGGGAGGGGAGAAAGAATCATCAGTTCAGAAAAACATCTGTTAGCTCAAAATACGTCCCACTCCACCCCACTCCTCTTTCAAGGTCAGCTCAGTTCACAACCAAGCACCATTCTGATCTCAAGAACTGATGATCGCGACCATAAGCCTGCCGTGACCCGGCCCAGTGAAGTCTGGGCACTCCACTGAAGCTGGCACCAGGGCAGACGCTCTGAGCTCCAGCGCCCGGGTGCCTTCTCAAGCCCCAAGCGGAGGAAACGAACCCGACGCCCAGCTGGGCTCGTCTCTCTCTAGGAAAGCCAAGCTGGGTGCTCACATACCCCCCACCCCGATGCCTTGTGGACGCGTCCTAGGGGCGGGCTCTGGAAATCCCTGGGAGAAAGTATTGACACCAAAGCCGAGAGCAAGTGGGAGTGACCCCGCAGCGGGCCAGTCTGCGCCTCGCGGCCGTCACAGTCGAATTCGTCCTTGTCGCTTAGTGGGCAGCTGTGAGTGCACTGTCATCACGTCTGGGCATTGTTAGGGGCCCAAGCTCTGAGCCAGCGGGCGGAGGACACTTCATATTAGTTGCTATTATAAACCTTCTATGCATAACATATTATAAAACTCTGAAACGATGCACACCAGCATGGTAACGAAGACCACGTAGGTGTGGTCGGATTGAAATTAGACGGAAAAAATAAGAACATAAGAGCTTTTAATAACTGATGACTGGCTACCATTTCCACTCACCTTACCTGAAGTCCTATGAGCACATACCTTTCTTTAGAAACGTGTCTAGATCAAGTGAGGCAAGCCGAGCAGTGCACACAGACCGGAAAACGGGGCGAAACTGCCCCGGCACCGAACACTCGCTTTGCTTCCGGCAGCAAACGCCAGCGCCTGCCCAGGGACAGCAGAGAACCGCGGAATGCTAGCTAACTTTAGGCAGGTCCACTGAATTTGGTCCAATTTGAAGTACTATGCGTGTATTGTTTCTTCTCTAGAAATTTTATCCTCAATATAGTCATAATCCAATTCATAATGAATTTATAAAAATAGCTTTTTATCCAATAATTCCAGCAAGGTAAAAATAGGCGCTTCTTTTCATATCTAGCAAAGGAGAGAGGCTCAGGCGAGAGAAATCAGACTTGGGCCAACCGCCACACATTCACCGTGAGCTCGCGCGCTGCTCCTCTCCGGGCTGCCGCTGGCCGGCCAACCATGCGCTGGCAGTTCGGGTGCAGGAGCTTCTTTCAGACACAGGGCAGCTGGCCCGCAGGCTGCGCCCAGGAGGGCGCAGCAGCTGCCGCCTCCATCTCACCAGCCGCGTGCCTCACCCACCACGGTCCTCGAATTACAGCTTGAACGTATTGTCTTAAAATTGAACACACGCGCACACGCTCGCACACGCTCGCACACGCACTCACACACACACACACACACACACACCTGAAGGAGGTTGCGGCACCACCAAAGACGCTCCTGAAGCTTACTATGAAATACAAAAGTGCACTCTTCTATATCTACATATAAAACATATTAGAAATAAAACGTGTGTAAAACGTTTGCTGTGCAAGCTATAAAAAGTCAGGCGCGCCTGCTCCACGTCCTGGCTGCCGGGCACCCTCCTGCCCTACTGCAGGGAGTCGCTGTTCTCCAAGACCAGCCCGCTGATGTGGGTGGCGGGGAGCTCGCCTCCGTCGTCCTCCGTGCTGTCCACAGACTCGTCCTCGCTCTGGCCCGCCATCATGACCTGCTGCACCGCCAGCGTGGCCCCGTCTGAGGTCAGAGACTGGAGGCTGTCCACGTTCATGTTCACAGGCGCCGTGATTGTGACCACTGCTCCTGGCAGAAACGGGCTGCGGTTACTGTCAGACAGACGTGCCGTCATCCCCAGCACTGTCTGCTTCCGTGACCCATCCTCTCTTCCCCAGGTATGGGGTGCTCCACGGGAGCTTCAGAAACTAGCTCTAGACCTGATCAGGTAGGAGGACTCCGGAAGTCCTCCTTCCATTCAACCCAGAGTGAACTCGGCTGCAGGTCAGCCCTGCAACATCGAAGCCAGACCCAGAAGGAGCAAATGGTTTCCAAGCGGCTTACCTGGATCCCAGAACAAAGTGCGAGGCGACTGACAGGAACACAAAATTGCACCCCACCAGGTCAGCCCACCTCATGCAGTATAGAATCAAGGATGGCCCAGGCCCAGGAAGAGGCAGGAAAGCACAATTCTCACGAGGAGACACCCGTCAGGCCACTCAAACTGACCCAGTGGGAGAGAGATGCGAGCATTCACACAAAGGGCCTCAGACACCTTCTAGCACCACATTCTAGCGGTTCAAACATCGAAGCAGACTTGAGAAAGAGGCCAGACAGACGCAACCAGACGCTCCTAGATGCACCTCTGAGAGGAAAGAACAAAGCAGACCGGACAGGCTGGGCTTAGACACCAGGCGAGAAAAGGCCAGTAACACTGCAAGCTCGGCAATAAACACGGGCTCTGAGGAAACAAGGCAAGCGAGGAAAGTATGTCCTGAAAACCAGGAGGGTCAGCAAATGGGGTCTGGGAAGACTTCAAAGCACCTTAGGGCGTGCATCACTGGGGTCCTTGAAGGAGGGGGGTCACTGTCGTGGCGGGCGATGCTCCCTTTCACTATCTGACATGAAGTGACCCCTCCCTTGGCCCGGCATCCGAGCCCGTACCTTCTGACATGGTGAGCTCATTCGGTGGTGCCTGGGCAACTCCTGAGGCAATGGAGTCGGGCCAGAACCTCTGGACGGGTCTGTTCTGAGCTGTTTTCTTCTTGGTTTTGGGCGTTTCTGAACAGCTGGAGTCCAACATTGGCTGAAGAATCCGTCGCCTGGCATTGATAAACCTGAGCACCAACAACGGAAAACCTTACATTAAAATGGCCCTTTCAAAGGGCCAACAATTCCACACCTCGAGCAAAGTGTGTAAGCACGCTCGGTGCCGCTGAGCTGCTTCTGACTCAGAGTGGCCCCGTCCAGGGCTTCCCCATAGGAGCGAGAGCCTTCTCCCTCGCCCTCTGAGCAGCGGGAGGGTTTACCATCCACCTTACGTTTGACAGTCTAACACTTACCTCGCAATGTCACCAGGGTGCCTTAAATTCTCTAGCATAAAGAGCTGTGGAGAGTGATGACACGCATATACCCTAAATGCCCCCCCGCCCCCGCCCCCGCGCCCCACAACCAAGCCTGTGCTATTTTAAAAGATTTCATTCAAATAACGACCAGCTCTTCCATGATGTCTTTCTTTAAACCTCAACTGGTTTATTCTGTGATTGTGAACTCCTTGCAAAGGAGAAAAACATTACAACAGCAGAGCGGCATCAAGTCTCATTCTGTCTGAGGCAGCTCTCTAGGCAAGGCATCTGTCTGATAAGCACCACCTGGGTAGACCCTAGTCTGTGGGCAACCTCCAGGGGGGCTATCCCAAAAGCAGGGTCTGCATTAAGGCCCTCGCCTTCTCAAAGCACTGTTCTCAACAACAAGCTGTTATTTCTTGGAGACCCAAGTTTTAAGCTATCCAACTGTCCCCAGGAACCTGTGCTCTTACTGGTTTGGGCACTCTGTAAAGACTAAGTGCTCATTCCTGTGACAGGCACTCACACCCAGGGAGCAGTGTCATGGACAGGCTGGCAGCCGAGGCAGGCCAGGGTTCTGTGTAAGTGGGAATGTAGCTGGCCCTCACCATATCCTGAGAGCACAGCAGTCACCATCTGCCTTTCCACATGGGGAAGGAGGGGTGCCAGAGAAAGTTCTAGACATGCATGTTCGCTGTGCCTGCACAAAACATGCCAGAGCTAGTTTGCTGTGCAAATGAATTGCACAGGAAAGAACAATCATCCCATAAAAGCCCCAGTCAAGCCTAACCCTGTTTAGACTCTACATTCTCTCTATCCCAGAGAAGAGCGGCACCAAACCGGCTTGAATGACTCTGTGTCCTCTGTTCAGTGATCCCCGTGATAAGCCAACCAACCCTCCTGCTAGTTAGTTCATGGTCAAGTATTAAAAGCTGGGCCTTAGTGCACCTCGGCACAGCTGTGTTCATGGCGCAGGGAACCAGCAAGTGCTGCCTTAGACGCAGGTTCTACTCTAGGTCTGGCCGCCGGTGGTCGTGACGCTCATCCTAGTCCTAGATCCAGGACAAGCCGAGTGGACGCTAAGGCTGCCCAGTTGTGAGGTTCAAAGATTTAAGTATAGCTACGATTTCACTAGGACATACTCTAATATATAAATGAACCAGGCAGACGACACAATGCTTCACCAAGAGTCCAGGTTGGTCCTGGAAAACAGACTTCTGGGTGGGAGACAAACCACACTGGCTTTACCATGACCCCCGCCCCCGAGAGCAAACGTGGAAGGCAATGGCACTGCTGATTCCCAAGCTGCTTCCTCCCCCTCGGTAGTCAGAGTGGCTAGGAAGTAAAGACACACTCTAACTCCAGTGGACCTAGTCTCTCGCCAAGGGTTGCTTTTGTGAGTGTAAAGGGGGAAGAAAGCCACAAAAGCTAAGAGTTGTTGCAAATACTGACTAAAGTATTTTATAATTTTGTAACTTTTACAAAAGTGACATTACTAAATTGCCATTCACTTTAAAAATTAGCAGTTGGCTCTACATCTTTGAGACAAGTTTGTTAACACAAGGTGCCGCTTAGGGGACTTCCTTGTGGAAGTGATAAACAGGGAAGTGAAGGGCAGTCAATGCTCACTGGTGGCACCAGAATGTCCACAGCCGTCCCTCTGGGGCTAACATCCAACCCCCAACCAGTTAACCCATCACTCCATGGCCAGTGTGGACCAGCCCACACGGTTCCGAAAGCAGAAGACTGTGCATGAAAACTCCCACAGAGACGCCCCCAGATGACAAAGGGACCGCGACAACACCCTCAATCTTCCCATGTCTGCGGACGCCGCAGTGTCCTGTAGGCCAGCTGGGCTGAGCCACAGTCTTCTGTGGCTTGGCAGCTGTGTCATCACTGAACCGTCCACGGCGATGTGATGTGAGCGGTTCCACCAGCCATCGGTGGTAAGGGTGTCAGAGCTGGATGCGAGACTCTAACTCAGGTGACAGCCCGAGTCCAATGTTCGGGAAGTGGTCCTGAGGCGCGGCCTGTATCACCTCTCATCTTCCTACTCAGAGACAAAAGGAAAGAGAAGGGGTAGACTTGGCTACCACGAAGAAAAGGGATCTGAGGGAGGAACGTGTGCTTTGGACATGGGATCCCTGTGCTGGGACTCCCCTAGACCCAGGGCAAGGCTGATGCCAAGACAGATGGGAGATTTTTGGGGGACGCTGGGCCCACAGATGTTGAGCGCAGACAAGGACCTTTCTCCTGAGCTGGAAGAGGCAGAGCCAGTGCCCTGAATTCAAACTATGCATCTTCTCAATCGTGAGAGAATAAGCTGGCACCTCTGTGATAGCAGCACTAGATAACCAAGCCAAAGAGCGTCCTCCAGATCGTTACAGAAAACACAACACAGCCCCAGTGTCGGGGGCAGAAATGTGTACTTCCACGCCCAAGCACACTCCCTACACGTCTCACTGCACCACACCCGAGGCCGGCCATGTGTGCTGAAACCTGCTCCCTCCACAGAGTTCAAACCAGCACTTCCTCCCAGAGCTCAAAGATTAAGGCTTCAAAGTAGTAGAGTTTGACCTTTTTCTTTTAGCCACGTCAATCCTATTACGATTCTACATTTGAACAAATAAATAAAACGAGACACGAGAATGAAGAACAAAGTGTATGTAGTACCAAGTCTAAACCCAAATTATTTAAAGAAAAAAAATCAGCTGACCAGGACCCCAGAGTCCACAGCATCGTGGCCCTCCAGAAGCA